TTCGCAGTCAGTGAGGTGAGCTTGGGAAGGACATGGCCGGGCGGCGGGCGCGGGGCTTGGGGAGGGGCAGCCCTGCCATTGCCCCGAGGACCAGGAAGGCAGAGCTGCTGTGAGATGAACAGTCGGACAGAAGCAGGAGGGAGGAGGCGCGTGGGCAGCAGCTGGAGGGTGTGGAACAGGCCGCCCCTTCCGCCCGGGCAGCATGTAACAGAGGAGCCCACACCGAACCGCTCCGACCTCGGAGCCATGGGTCACTGGTGGCAGTGACCGTGGGTGGGGAGCCGCCCTGAGCTGAGCTGGAAGGAGCAAGTCCCAGGTCGGCCTGCCTCTCTCTGTCCTTAGCGCTCAGCGAGGGACAGAGACGCGGGTCAACCCTGCTCCGACGTGGCGAGCGAGGGCCCTGCGTGCCCCTTACGCCATCGCCACCGTGTGATAACACACCGCTCATTTGTGTGTGTGGTAGATGATGGTGCTGATGTGTCCAGGGTAATGGGAAGCATATGGGTCACAACTGTTTTGAAGTAAAAATGTCTGTAAAGTTTATTTAGGCTCCTCAATTACAGGGTGGGCGGGAGGCGGGCCTGTGGGTTGAGCGTGTGGTTACGTGTTGGCATGGTGCCGGGCCGGGCCGATGCTGCCAGAGAGAAGGAACAGAATGGGGACGGGGCCTGTGTCTTCCTCTCTCTCTCTCTCTCTCTCTCTCTCTCTCTTTCTTTGTTAATCCTCACCTGAGGATATTTTTCCATTGATTTTTAGAGCAAGTGGTAGGGAGGAAGAGACAGAGAGAAACATCTAGGTGAGAGAGACACATCAATCGGTTGCCTCCTACACGCACCCCGACCAGGGCTGGGGGACCTGGAACCAGGTATGTGCCCCTGACCGGAATCGAACCCGGGACCCTTCAGTCCGCGGGCCAGCATTCTGTCCACTGAGCCAAATCAGCCAGGGCCCTCGGGTCGTTTCTTCAAGCAGTGACGTCAAGGCCAGTGTTCGCACAGACGGGTCGGATGGCATCACCCTGTGCTTGAGAGGGTGTGCCCGCCGTCCAGCCCCGTCTCCCCGGTGCTGGGCACTTCAATTTGGTGAGATTTCCTGGCAGTTTGAAATCAGGGCTCTCTGGAGTCCTGGAAGAAGAGCAATCCCTTTGAGCCTCTCTCTTAGATTCTAACATACTCTCCGCTTGATGAATTGTGCCCAGTTTTGGGGACCACAGTTAAGTATTTCCGTCTGTGACAGACAAGAGGAAGTAAGAGCTCAAGTTAGGTGTTTTGACTTCAAGTCAACCCATGGCAGGGTCCTGGTGACCTTCTGAAGCTGTGTGTGTGTGTGTGTGTGTGTGTGTGTGTGTGTGTCGGGGTGGGGGGAGTTGGGGGGCATGCGTGCACGCATACAGAGTCATATGTGGTTATTCCTTTGGGATCTAGCAATAGTCCCAGGAGCACGGGAAAAGGCCGGAGTTAACCAGCCCATGTGGAGGTGGGCGAGTGCGTGGCTGGGAAGTTCACTGGCATCACCCCCGTGCTGTCTGCCTTCCTCCCCAGTGCCCATTTGTGACATTGTGCAAGGTGAAGGAGTGGAGTGGAGGGGCTAATTGGACGGTGGGCGGGGCTTCGTTCCCTGTGAAGGTCACAGGATGGGCTTTCCTGTTTACTGCTCCTGTGGGGGCTCACTCCACACCCCGCAGGGGCTTCGGCAGCACGTGGAGGGAACCCACCCATTCGTCCGTTCATGGCTTGGTCCTGGTGATGCCTCACGTCTCCAGCTCTGGATGAAAGTGGCCTGTTTCCCGAGGAGCGTGCACCTGGGAGGGGATCTGAGGGGCGCGTAACTGATCACAATGCAGAACGATTGCGGACCTGTCTTCAGGGCTGTATCCCCTTTAAAGCACGTTCACTGCATCATCGCAGCTCACGGATGTGGTCTGTTTCCCACTTGCACAAAGATCAGCCCAAGTTCAGCCGGATGACTGCCTAGAGGCGGTGCCGGGCGCCAGCGTGGTAGATACCGTGTCACTGCGCTCAGGGAGTGGCCGCCCCGCGGGAGAATGGGCATCTAGGGTCCTTCTCGGCCTCTGTCGAGGCATTTTTTCCAAGGAGGTGAACACGGCCTTCCCAGGGCTGTGGAAGGATGAAATCTGCTCCCGGCACATCGAACGGCCCAGTGAATTGTCGGTATCAACGGCTCCACTCACTCTTGTTGGAAGGAAAGCCCCAGGGCTGGATGGGCAGGCCACGGGGTCCCGTCCGAACGTAAACCCTCCCTGTGTCCCGGCTTCTCCTGCCTCCAGCGCTCTCCGCGGGCACCCGTGGGCGGCCTGGCACCACCCGCATGCAGAGGGCCGCGTGGGCCCAGAGCAGGGCCAGTGCCGGCTCCGCTGGTCCTGCAGTGTTTCCCCATGATCCTCAGCTTTGTGCTAACTTGCTGGCGCCCTGTCCGTCTGTCTGTCTGCCTCCCCTTTTCCTGCATTCCCTTCATATCCCAGCCCTTCCTGACCCAGGCAGACTCGGGCGGACTCGCTGAGGGGTTAAGTGCAAGAGTTTTCCCTAATTAAGTGCATGTTGACAACATGAAGCTCCGTTAAGCTGGAGGGAGCGAAGGGCATCCTGTTGGTGAGTTTTGAGGAGGGGGGTCCACAGGAGGTCTGGCTGCCTGCCTGCCTCGACAGGCGGCCTTGGCCGTCCTCGGGGCTGGAATTGGAGGAGACCTGAGGCAGAGCCGTGGCGCCGTTCGCCTGGGGGACCGTGCAGCTCCGTCACTGGTGAAGGCGGTGGGCCGGATGTAGCTCAGTGCTGGTGGTATCAGCTACTTGGTATTTGTGGCCATTTTTCTCACGTTGGAGCACATTTCTCCCTCATTCTTCTGGAACCAGTGACGCATCGCTGGTAGTGGACGTGCGATGTGACGGTTCCCTCCTGGGTCCCCTGAATCGCCCGGACGCGAACAAACAGAGCCATAAACAGCGTGTGTGTGGCATAAAGCGCAGCATTAGAGACATCAGTGCCAGTTTGGTTCACTGGGAATGCATGGGGAAAGGTAACAAGGGCCACGCAGGGAGGCTGTTACGTATTAACTTTAAGACTCGGCAGGAAATAGAGTGGGAGGCCTCAGCGTTCTAGCTGAAGCACATCAGCGGGCCTTGAAGGGGCCGTGGGTACATGTGATAACTGCATGATAGTGAGCTGTGTCCTAAGGTTACATGTGATGACCACATGATAATGAGCTGATCCTAAGGTTACATGTGGTTACATGTGATGACCACATGATAATGAGCTGATCCTAAGGTTACATGTGATGACCACATGATAATGAGCTGATCCTAAGGTTACATGTGGTTACATGTGATGACCACGTGATGGTGAGCTGAGTCCTGTGGTTACATGTGATGACCACTTGATAGTGAGCTGCATCCTAAGGTTACATATGATGGCATGTGATGACCACATGATAGTGAGCTGCGTCCTAAGGTTACATGTGGTTACATGTGATGACCACGTGATGGTGAGCTGCCCTAAGGTTGCATATGATGACATGTGATGACCACGTGATGGTGAGCTGCCCTAAGGTTGCATATGATGACATGTGATGACCACGTGATGGTGAGCTGACCTAAGGTTGCATATGATGACATGTGATGCCCACGTGATGGTGAGCTGACCTAAGGTTGCATATGATGACATGTGATGACCACGTGATGGTGAGCTGACCTAAGGTTGCATATGATGACATGTGATGACCACGTGATGGTGAGCTGACCTAAGGTTGCATATGATGACATGTGATGACCACGTGATGGTGAGCTGACCCTAAGGCCTTGTTTCCATGCCCTGCAGCTTTGCCCTGTCGGACGAAGCCTACCGGTCCCTGCGAGATCAAGACAAGGACCAGTGCATCCTCATCACCGGGGAGAGCGGGGCCGGGAAGACAGGTAAGACCCCGGGCCAGCCTCCCGCTCCGCTGGATGGCCGGTGCCCCGGGAGTGGCAGAGTGAGCGCAGCCAGGAGCGCCGTGCGGTCAGCACGAGGCTGTGCTGGGCCGCCAGGTGCCTGTGCCACGGGCTCCGGGGCTCCGGGCTGCTTGCCTAAGGGAGGCCGGGGCCTCGGGGCCCTGGGAGGCCGCAGCGCAGCTCCTCTCTGTGGGGAGGGGAGGAGAGGAGCGGGGGGCCAGGGAAGGCTGACTTCCTCGGAAGCCACAGAACTGAGATTTTTGTCTGTAGCTTTAGATGGGCTGTCTATATTTCTAGTGCGGAGATAAAGATCATGTGCAAAATGCTGCGGAACCAGAGAGGAACCTCTGTGTGTATTTTTGGAGTGATTGTGCTGTTTTCCCTTGTGCTTGTAATAAAAGCAGTTTGTATGGCTGATGGCCGGAGTGAGAGGTGATTCTGCCTGGGCCTGGCGACCGGGAGAGGGTGGGGAGAGCTGCACTGGCGAGTCCACTCTGCAGGCTCCCCCTGCTGCCATCGGGTCTCCTCCGCGGAACTGAGGGCCCAGGAAGGAGGAAGGCGGTGAGGGAGATGAGGGCTGCCTGTCTGTTCCATCTCTAACATGCTCTCCTTTAAAATATAGTCGACAGATGACGGTGTGTTAGTTTCAGGTGTACGTCCTAGTGATTCTGCCTGTATGAACCTCACGATGCGACCACCCCGACATGGCGTCACCACGGTCGCCGTGCAGAGCTGTGCCATTACTGACCGCATCCCAGTGCTGGGTAGCACACCCCGTGGCTTCTGTACCGCGTGTTCTTGTGTGACAGCCGAGGCTGGCCATTC